CCCGGCCGCCCCCGCGTCCACGCCGACCCGCGCCGCCTTCAGCGCTTTGGCCGCTGCTACCGCCTCCGCCTCCCACCGGGCCGCCAACTCTCTCTCGGTGCTGCCCCGCCGCATGGCGCTCAGGACCGGTGTCAATGCCTGTGCCGCCGCCGCCGCCGCCGCCGCCGCTCCGCCGTCCCAGCCCGCGACCAAACTACCGCCGCCGCTACCTCCGCTACCGCTGCCACGCGCTCCCAGCCTGAGCTCGTTGCCATGATCGCTCAGGCTCAGGTTGACAGAGTCAGGCCCCGCCTCTGGACGGGGTCCGGGAAGGGACAATCGCCGGCCAAGACCTTGCTACCTCATAGGCGAGGGTGCCCACGTGGCCAGTCCTGTCACAGAGACTGTTGCGGCCATGTTGGAAGAGGGCAGAACAGCCCTGGCCCAGCCGAACCAGAAAACTCGCTAAGTTTCTGAGAACTCCGAGCCTAGCGAGGAGATGAAAGGTGTCTAGCGTACTTGGGGCTCCCAAGCCTGGAGACGGAGGAGGAAAAATATCTGTCACTAACAAGCGGCTCAGTTCCCCCAACCCGTGCACACTCACTTTGGAACTCCCGGTCCCCAACCCATCCCTGGGAAATGCACCACGGTAATCTGCTCATTCTGGTGACGATGAATGTGACAGGTTCTGGTCTTACGGGAGCCCAAAGACTTGGATAAGGTGGGATTCTCAGTTCTCTGGAAGTTCCCACTGGGGACAGAGAAAGAAGCCCTACAGATCAACAGCAGAGTTGAGGACACTGATGTCTGCTTTTTCTTATTATGCCACTTTTTTATTGCAGTAAAAAACACATAGCAACATTTGCCATTTAACCGTTTTAATATACACTTCCGTGGCATTCACTACATTCACACTGGCGCTGCAACCATCGCCACCATCCCAGCTCCAGAACTTTTTCTTCTTTCCACACTGAAAACTCTGTGCCCATGAAATAACTTGACTTCCCTCAACCCCAGCCCCCGACAACCACCATCCTACTTTCTTTTCTTTCTTGTAACCCAGGCTGGCCTGGAACTCGCAGCGATCCTCCTGCCTTGGCCTCCCGAGTGCTGAGATTACAGGCTTGCGCCACCGCGCCTGGCTCTACTTTCTTTCTTGATTAATTTGACAACTGCGAGGTATCTCATAGATATTCTTTTTTTTTTTTTTTTTTTTGGTTTTTCTCCGGTACCGGGAATCCAGCTCAAGACCTTGTACTTGCCAGGCAGGCACTGTGCCGCTGAGCTAAATCCCCAGCCCCGAGGTATCTCATAGAAGTAAAGTCATACTTTTGTCCTTTTATGTCTGGCTCATTTTTTAAGGGCAAAGTCATAGAATAGCAAACTTACAGACTTTTATAGTAAAAGTTAAAAATCAGTTAATAGCCTGTGACTATGATCATGCTGCCTGTCACACAGTTAGACTGCTGGGCTGTTAGCCTTGACTGTCTGCATCGGCTGCTTCTTCCACATAGCCAGCCTGGCCAGCTTGACCATACCCAGCTGCAGTGGCTGCTTTTCAGTTTAAAATATGTACATATGTAGCTTTGTTTCGGCTTGCTTCAAGGACTGTATACCTTGTGCCCAGAACGCATCAGCCCAGTCAAGGACACTTTCAACTCTACTTGCTCTACCCACACACCATCCCCTCCTTCCCAGAATGTTCCGACCTTGTGATAAACAATTCCTTTTAAGTAAACCTGTTTGCTTGAGAACATACGACTCATTGCATATAACCTGCCTTCAGCCTTGTGCTTCCTGCTTGCAAACTGTATTTAAACTGAACTCTAAGCTGATTCATGGCTGGTAATTTGGAACTGGTTCCCATCACCCTGCTATTATAATAAAAGCTACCTTCTAACTCCTTGGTGCAAGGAGTCTTCCA